AATAAAGAACCCTCACTGCTCAATGGCTCAGAGTGCCGAGTAAAGGTATTTTGAAGCCTTTTACCGGCATACAGTGACGTCTTTATATGAGTAAAACAAGTAACTTTAAACAATACACAAACAATCAAACAGTTAATATATACATCTCGTTAAAATATATGTATCTGAATTGATGACGTTAAGAAAGTTCTCATTTTTAGCTCACCTGAGCCGAAGGCTCAAGTGAGCTTTTCTGATCACATTTTGTCCGTCGTCCGTCCGTCCGTCCGTCTGTCTGTCTGTTTGTCCGTCTGTAAACTTTTCACATTTTCGACTTCTTCTCAAGAACCACTGGGCCAATTTTGACCAAACTTGGTACAAAGCATCCTTGGGTGAAGGGGAATTTAAATTGTTAAAATGAAGGGACATATCCCCTCGCAAGGGGAGATAATCAAGAAAAGACAAAAATAGGGTGGGATCATTAAAAAATCTTCTTTTCAAGAACCACTGGGCCAGAAAAGCTGAAACTTATGTGAAAGCATCCTAGGGTAGTGTAGATATTAAATTGTTCAAATCATGACCCCCAGGGGAAGGGCGGGGCCACAATGGGGAATCAAAGTTTTACATAGAAATATATAGGAAAAATCTTTGAAAATCTTCTTCTCAAGAACTACAGGGCCAGAAAAGCTGAAACTTATGTGAAAGCATCCTAGGGTAGTGTAGATATAAAATTGTTCAAATCATGACCCCCTGGGGAAGGGCGGGGCCACAATGGGGAATCAAAGTTTTACATAGAAATATATAGGAAAAATCTTTGAAAATCTTCTTCTCAAGAACTACAGGGCCAGAAAAGCTGAAACTTGTGTGAAAGCATCCTAGGGTAGTGTAGATATTAAATTGTTCAAATCATGACCCCCTGGGGAAGGGCGGGGCCACAATGGGGAATCAAAGTTTTACATAGAAATATATAGGAAAAATCTTTGAAAATCTTCTTCTCAAGAACTACAGGGCCAGAAAAGCTGAAACTTATGTGAAAGCATCCTAGGGTAGTGTAGATATTATATTGTTCAAATCATGACCCCCGGGGGAAGGGCGGGGCCACAATAGGGAATCAAAGTTTTACACAGAAATATATAGGAAAAATCTTTGAAAATCTTCTTCTCAAGAACTACAGGGCCAGAAAAGCTGAAACTTATGTGAAAGCATTCTAGGGTAGTGTAGATATTAAATTGTTCAAATCATGACCCCCTGGGGAAGGGCGGGGCCACAATGGGGAATCAAAGTTTTACATAGAAATATATAGGAAAAATCTTTGAAAATCTTCTTCTCAAGAACTACAGGGCCAGAAAAGCTGAAACTTATGTGAAAGCATCCTAGGGTAGTGTAGATATTATATTGTTCAAATCATGACCCCCGGGGGAAGGGCGGGGCCACAATGGGGAATCAAAGTTTTACATAGAAATATATAGGAAAAATCTTTGAAAATCTTCTTCTCAAGAACTACTGGGCCAGAAAAGCTGAAACTTATGTGAAAGCATCCTAGGGTAGTGTAGATATTAAATTGTTCAAATCATGACCCCCTGGGGAAGGGCAGGGCCACAATGGGGAATCAAAGTTTTACATAGAAATATATAGGAAAAATCTTTGAAAATCTTCTTCTCAAGAACTACAGGGCCAGAAAAGCTGAAACTTATGTGAAAGCATCCTAGGGTAGTGTAGATATTAAATTGTTCAAATCATGACCCCCTGGGGAAGGGCGGGGCCACAATGGGGAATCAAAATTTTACATAGAAATATATAGGAAAAATCTTTGAAAATCTTCTTCTCAAGAACTACTGGACCAGAAAAGCTGAAACTTGTGTGAAAGCATCCTAGGGTAGTGTAGATATTATATTGTTCAAATCATGACCGCCTGGGGAAGGGCGGGGCCACAATGGGGAATCAAAGTTTTACATAGAAATATATAGGAAAAATCTTTGAAAATCTTCTTCTCAAGAACTACAGGGCCAGAAAAGCTGAAACTTATGTGAAAGCATCCTAGGATAGTGTAGATATTATATTGTTCAAATCATGACCCCCGGGGGAAGGGCGGGGCCACAATGGGGAATCAAAGTTTTACATAGAAATATATAGGAAAAATCTTTGAAAATCTTCTTCTCAAGAACTACAGGGCCAGAAAAGCTGAAACTTATGTGAAAGCATCCTAGGGTAGTGTAGATATTAAATTGTTCAAATCATGACCCCCTGGGGAAGGGCGGGGCCACAATGGGGAATCAAAGTTTTACATAGAAATATATAGGAAAAATCTTTGAAAATCTTCTTCTCAAGAACTACAGGGCCAGAAAAGCTGAAACTTATGTGAAAGCATCCTAGGGTAGTGTAGATATTAAATTGTTCAAATCATGACCCCCTGGGGAAGGGCGGGGCCACAATGGGGAATCAAAGTTTTACATAGAAATATATAGGAAAAATCTTTGAAAATCTTCTTCTCAAGAACTACTGGACCAGAAAAGCTGAAACTTATGTGAAAGCATCCTAGGGTAGTGTAGATATTATATTGTTCAAATCATGACCCCCGGGGGAAGGGCGGGGCCACAATGGGGAATCAAAGTTTTACATAGAAATATATAGGAAAAATCTTTGAAAATCTTCTTCTCAAGAACTACATAGCCAGAAAAGCTGAAACTTATGTGAAAGCATCCTAGGGTAGTGTAGATATTAAATTGTTCAAATCATGACCCCCAGTGGAAGGGCGGGGCCACAATGGGGAATCAAAGTTTTACATAGAAATATATAGGAAAAATCTTTGAAAATCTTCTTCTCAAGAACTACAGGGCCAGAAAAGCTGAAACTTATGCGAAAGGATTGTAGGGTAGTGTAGATATTAAATTTTTCAAATCATGACCCCCTGGGGAAGGGCGGGGCCACAATGGGGAATCAAAGTTTTACACAGAAATATATAGGAAAAATCTTTGAAAATCTTCTTCTCAAGTACTACAGGGCCAGAAAAGCTGAAACTTATGTGAAAGCATTCTAGGGTAGTGTAGATATTAAATTGTTCAAATCATGACCCCCTGGGGAAGGGCGGGGCCACAATGGGGAATCAAAGTTTTACATAGAAATATATAGGAAAAATCTTTGAAAATCTTCTTCTCAAGAACTACTGGGCCAGAAAAGCTGAAACTTATGTGAAAGCATCCTAGGGTAGTGTAGATATTAAATTGTTCAAATCATGACCCCCGGGGGAAGGGCGGGGCCACAATGGGGAATCAAAGTTTTACATAGAAATATATAGGAAAAATCTTTGAAAATCTTCTTCTCAAGAACTACAGGGCCAGAAAAGCTGAAACTTATGTGAAAGCATCCTAGGGTAGTGTAGATATTAAATTGTTCAAATCATGACCCCCAGTGGAAGGGCGGGGCCACAATGGGGAATCAAAATTTTACATAGAAATATATAGGAAAAATCTTTGAAAATCTTCTTCTCAAGAACTACTGGGCCAGAAAAGCTGAAACTTATGTGAAAGCATCTTAGGGTAGTGTACATATTAAATTGTTCAAATCATGACCCCCAGGGGAAGGGCGGGGCCACAATGGGGAATCAAAGTTTTAAATAGATATATATAGGAAAAATCTTTGAAAATCTTCTTCTCAAGAACCAATGGGACAGAAAAGCTGAAACTTATTTGCACATGGAAGGATCCTGGGGTATTTGATTTCAAAATGTCTTAATTATGATCAGTGGGGTAGGGTGGGGATACATAATGTATTACAAGGGGGAAATCTGGTAAAGAACAGAATGGTCAAAGCTTCTCAGGTGAGAGATGTGGCCCATGGGCCTCTTGTTATGAAATGTACGACTAATACACTCTCTCGAAATAGCTTATTTTTATTTTACAGGTGCCCCTACGTCCACCTGACCTGGCATTTCAGTTGCAGCTGTTAAATATAGGGATCGAAGTCAATGGAATTAAAGTTGTAAACATAACGTGTTTCTTACAAAACTATTTCAATTCTCAATTTCTCTTTTGTATTTTTATTCTTTATTCTAACACACATTAGGAACATACTTCATGAGAAATTCCTATTACAATACCTTCAGCTTCCAGTATGTACTTCCTTGTGCAGCTGGTTCGAAGTTTCACAGAAATTCGTATTTTAATAGCCAAGGTAATACTGTTTACCAAGTTAAAAAAGGAATAACATAACTCGTAAATCTTCTTATGACCGTCAACTCAACATTCAGATATATCAACGAATTTTTATAAATATTCAGTAGTTTTTGTCATTCATATGTTAACTCGATATATTCCAATGGGTTTGAAATAAAAATCCCACAGTCTGACACATTCATTTCATATTTGGATGCTTTGTTGGTCATTTACGAAAAGGGTCAAGTTTATTCTATGACAAAAGGGATGATTTCACCTTAACCACCGTCAAATTTCCTTACTTATGAAGTTATATTTCTTTAAAGTAAAAAAAATTATTGTTATACCTTTAAAAATTTGTTCCTATACAAATCTATACAAAAAAAAGTCTAACATTTTTAATGTTTTGCTGAGCGGGCATAAAAAAATCGATGTTGGACCGCTGAGTGAGATGTTGGACCGCTCGGAGAGATGTTGGACCGCTTACATCACAGAATGGGCGGAGCTTATTCTCATTTCCATTCGTTGGTGTAAAACAGTGACAGACCTTATGTTGCAGCACGAAATACAGTACAAAATACATGTATGTCAAAAAATATAAAATAAAATGAAAGGTATAACAAAACATGTTTGGTTCTTGGGTCCGACAAAACACATGTTGCCCTCGAACTCAGTCAATAAATGTATACTATTTTCAAAGAATTGTTATGATTGCTTATTCTTGCATCTGTTGTGAAGAGAAGGAGAATAGTAAAGCAGTCTCAAGTTCAAGTCTTTTTCTTAATATTTTAAACTCAAATTGATCATTTTTTTTTATTCCAGTCGTCAGCAAAGTATTTATTCATAGAGTCTTAGACAATGACCCATTTTTGTAAAATATTATGAACATAAGTGACAATATTCAAAATCGTTTGTCATGAAATAACGGAAAAGTGAGTGACTTCTCTGGTGGACCATCTTATCCTCAACCAATTATACTGGGTGATGTAGACAACTCCATTCTGAAAATAGTTGATTAATATTGGAAAGAATTTATTCTTGATTAGTATAGTACAATATTCATTTCTCTACCATGAATCACAAACGTCAACAATTTTTTTTTACTGTGCTTTTCAAATATTCTAGGTATTTTCTATAATACTTACGGCTTTTCGCAAATGAAATATTCCTTAAAATTACAGTTAACGTCATGCCATTGAAAATTTGTGGATCCGAGCATTGACAAGCAATCTTCTATATCACTTTCTGGTTGACCAGGGTTCCAATTTGTGTATACTAAACGCTGATCTGTTCCTATCCAGTAATAATTTCCCTCGGACTCGATATCGTTTCCTCCCGTCCAGTATCTTACTGTTGTTTTGTCAGAGTCTATATATCATTGTGTATCAAAATAAATTATCAATATAAACACGTTTGAATACAATAACATCTATGAAACGTATGGAGATACCATACAGTATGAAAAATCAAATGTTCATAAAAGAATTCAAAGTAGAAGCAAAACAAACATGGACCAACAAAACATCAGAGGTGAGATAAGGTGCCATGGAGGAGTGAGCATGCCCTGCCGACCGGTCACACCCGCCGTGTGCTCCTTGTCATGATCGGGAAATAAAATCCGTCGACAATATAGTGTATAAATAATGGAGTAACAATTAGTATGAAAAATGTCAATCAGCATTTGACTGAATGATAAAATTGAATATAATTTTAATACAAGGTCATTGTATCGACCAAAGAACTTACTTAATGATGACTTTTAACGAGACTGCTGAAATACTTGTGTCATCAACTTGTTTGTCAATAATTTACTTCGTTTAGGAAATTGTTCATACGTAGAGCATGCTCTTGCGTATCGAATCAACTCCTATCAATATCGAGATTTATAAACTCCATTAGCTGCAGATCTTTAGCTATCCGAAAAAATATATTTTGATAGACCGGATAGCTACAGTGCCACCCATTTAAAAAACTGTATATTTATTGCGCACAAAAAAGTGCGCTCGGTTTTCGATTTATTTCTCCATGTTCCTAAAACAAAAATCTCATGATATTACTAACCGTGTGTTCCTAACATATTCTTTGACTCTTTCCACGACAAAACATTCGTCATAATTATTTTTAATAGTCCTCCTGACCCTGATAGTGTAATCATCGAACATTTCGATTATATATACTGCATTTTGGTTTCAAAGATAATTCGGTCCAATATGCTTCGTTCAGATGTCAACTACGAATGTAATTGATAAAGGAAAAGAAACTTTTTAAAATCTTCCCTCTTTTGCAATTGAGGTAAGAATTAGGAAGAAATAATTAAGAACCGAGCGCATTTTTTTGTGCGCAATAAATTAACAGTTTTTTTCAATGGGTGGCACTGTAGCTATCCGGTCTATCAATATATATTTTTCCGGATAGCTACAGATCTGCAGCTAAAACTCCATATGTAGGTGATGAAGGTATATAGCTGCATAAGTAAGGAAAGTTGACGATAGAAAAGGTAAAGTCGTCACGTTTATCAAGTAGCTTGGCTAATAGATTACCATTAATGTCTTCTTCTTTAAGTAAAATATCCAAATATGGAAGAGATGTGTCTCAATTTCACCAGAATATATCGTATCGACATAAGAATATAAATTACCATTGTTAATTGACAATAGTCGTTGATATATCTAAATATCGAGATGAGAACCATAGCAAGTTTTTTCTCCTGTTCATGTATAAGATTTCGGACAAAATCTGCTTCATAGGAATACAAAAATAGGTTTGCTTATTACCGGGCGCAATTGGTACCCATGGGAATTCCAGTAGATTGTTGGAAGACGTAATCTCCGAAAACAACATAGATATTGTCAATCAGAAGCTCAAGCAGACTACTTGTGTGTACAGTACATAGCACTTGTGTGTACAATACGAAATTGGAGAAGAGCAAACACGGACCAAAACATCAGAGGTGGGATCGGGTGCCACGGGGTATTGAGCATGTCCATATATTAAATTAAAATGTATAATATATAGACAAAATTTTCTTCTGTAAACATACATAAAGTCAGTTTAAAGATTCGCCTTACCGTGCGGGTGACGGATTTGCAGATAGCCCTCCAGCATCAGATTTTTCTCGTAAGAATCAACAGAGACTAGAGTTGAGTTAAATGCCTTGCATACCATCTTTAACAATAAGAGAAGTTAATTTAAAAAATAAACAATAATGTTAAAACATTCTCTGTGATATTAACGTAGTTGGTCACGTGATTATTTTTTTAGAACACAAAAATGCTATGCTTTTTCATTTAGTTAAATACATTGGTTAAGGGTGTCAAAGTCTCATATGAATTTGGAAGGGCTCTAAAAATCAAACAATATCTGACAACTACTCAATGGGCGCCGCCGCTAGGTGGCGCTGGCGGTAAGTTTTCCCGCAATCACGAAAAGTTGACCTCGTTGCGCCTAGGATTTTTCCCGGTCTTGTATGATAAAACCTGAGGCTAAAATACGAAAGTAATGGTGCGAAACTAAAGTCAGGAGTTCTAATTTGACGTATATGATATTTATAGAAAGCACATGGTAAGAAAATGGCAATTTATCGATATTTAAAGTGAGAAAATAGGTGGGAAGACTAGAAATCGGCAATATACGCAGATTTTACGGTCATTTTTGAGTAATTTGATCTTTTTTAAGCTTAAAACAATACGAAGATAATAAGTATTTGCTCGGATAATAATGTAAAATCGATGTTCAATCCGGTAGGGTCAAACGAACAAGAACGATAACTCTAATGTTTTTAAATCCGAGGAAAATAAACAAGGCATTTAATCGCCGATTTTTCCTGTTCAGTAAGTTTTCCTGTTTTTATCCTCGAAAAATATATTATATTTGATTTATAAACACATGAAAATATGTCATTCTCTCCTTTAATGACATTATCTTGCAAACTGTAAAGACCGACAATTCTGTGTATCTCAAAACTCTTGCACTTGCAAAGTTGCAGAACGATATGTCTTTGTCAATTTATTTTGAAAGTTGAATCACAGGAAGAACTTCAAGACACTTAAGTCAGTTATGTGTAGCTTACACCTTTGTCATAATAAATTGCTATATGCTCTGCAAATTGATAAATTATAAATATAATTTAATTAATTTAAACATGTTAAATGCTAAAGTTAAAGTTGAATAAATCTAATGCATATGCAAAATATTTTAAATTGAAATGTCAAGTAAACTGTAATTGTAGACCACTTTTTAAAATTCTTTTTTAGGAAGTTATTGAGAAAAATCAGCCAACTCCTGAAACTAGTGAAAGTCCTTTACTATTTTTCATTGTGATTTTTAAAAAAATTTATTTCAAATTTAGCACAAGCCCTCATACTAAAGTTGAGACATTCCAATAAATATGGATATCATTTTAACAAGATAAAGAAAACATTTTCTTCTACACTTGAGAATAATAATTATTCTTTCAATACCTTTTAATCATTTCTTTTTATTCTTTTTCAAATTTTAATTGTTTTGTAAATAGAGGATAGAGGAGATGTATAAAGAGAGGACAGTGGTTTAAAAGAAGTATAATAAATGTAGATTTTTACTGACATTGATGAAAAGGTTTATGAAATTGTGGTTTATAAAACTTTGTTTTTATCAAATTTAACACTATATAAATTTTATATAGTGTTAAATTTGATAAAAACAAAGTTTTATAAACCACAATTTCATAAACCTTTTCATCAATGTCAGGGATTGTGAACATAAACATAATGAAACTGTGTAGACTTTAATACAAGAATATAATGTAACTTTCCATGTATGGTAGACATGCAGTGTACGATAGAGTACTTCAGAGTACTGAAGAAAAGTTGTGTATTTTAATATAATTAGACTATTTATGTATATACAATTTGATTTAACAGTATATTAAAATATATTTCAACATTTGTCCCAAATATTTGTTTATTTAGCAATATTTGGACAAGAAAGCAACATTCATGATTCAATGCAATGAACAGATGATGGTTATTAACACCCCAATCTTATTTAAGTACTATTTTGTTTCAGACTTATTAATTTCAACTAAATCTTGTTTATCAAAAATAAAATTAATTGCATTACATAAACTTTAATATTTTTCACATTAACAATGAAACATTTGAAGTTTGATTAGATCAAGATCAGGATCAAACCATAAGATAAACCAATGTAAACCGTAACTTGAAATCAAAAATTAAAATAACTTCTAAAATAAGGAACACATACACATTTTATTTAAATATATGTTTAATATGTTAAACCAATGTTGAAAAACATACAAAAAGCAGTTTTACTGCATTTAATTATAAAATTTTACTAGCGTACTCTAAAGTACTCTATCTTACAAGCGTACTCTGTTTTGTAGGACAGTAAGGTGAAAGAGGGTAGGTGTGTTTATTAGTATTTTAAGGCTATAAAAATTCTCATTTTCAATAAATTAAGTTCATATTTAGATAAAGCACACCCAAAAAAGGCTAAAAAGACATTGAGTTACCTTTTATTTCATATAGTTTCTTCAGTATAATGTGAGGTCAGATATTTTTTAAAGTAAGAAAATTAGCCTATTGAAATTGCGTGAGGGTACCCATGTTTGCCTCTTAATTGTGATGCAATGGAAAGAGATATAATGAAATGGTTGTCAATTTTGAAATCAACATGCTCAAATTGAGAGGAATGTGAGGAAAAAATCTGAAAAAATACTGTTTTTAAAAATCACCCCCTGATGCCACAACTAGCTGACAATAATTTCCCCCTTAAATTTAAAATCGCGCATGGGTTGGGTTGTATCCGGTCCATCGAATAAGACCCTAGGTCTTAAACACAAGTCCTTTGCTGCAACAGTTGATGTCATAAAAGCTGAACACAGGACTTTCCGCCTGAAGCCAGAAGCGTTCCAACATGTGTGAAAATTACTGAAGTATCGTAAAACAAACAACCAAAACAACTCCCCGTTTTTTTCGAATAAATGTCAAATTGACACAATAAATATATGTGAAATCACATGTAATTTCGTGGGGTCAAATTTTAAGGTTTGAGGAAAAAATTGTTGCTTTGTGGAGATTTGATTTCGTGGCTGGAAAATATGGTGGTCTTTCCAAACTTCGAATGCAACGAAAATTAAACTCCCACGAAAATTAGTGATTTCATTTTAAGTTCATTACCTATTATCTGTAAAATGGTATTGCACAGTGTACTTTTGAATGTCCTTTCTTACATGTACTGTATGTATATCTGATCAAAAAAATAACTTCCTACCAATGCTTCTGGCCAAGACACTTGAAAATCAGAAAAGAGGAAACACGAACTTGACAGTTTAGTCCATCTCCCGCAAGGATCAGCTCCAGCCACAACTGTAATTATTAGTTACATGAATTTTCATAAACTTCATGTTTCATATATCGACTACAAACACATAACTGGTGAGATTTGTTTGTAATTCAAAGGGTTATGGCATACTAAAAGAATAGAAACTCTTGTATTTTATGCAATATGCGCATGCAAATTATGTAACTTAGTGAAAATGTGTTATGGATGGATTTGGGTATTATTTTAAACACAGAATTTTTTTTCCAACGAGAAATATAGTTTTTTTTCAGTATGGTAAATATTAATACTGGTCTTCGTGGTCCAGTCTTTGAACTTAGCATGTTGTTTTTTAATCAATGGCAACAACTTATTCTAAACTTACTATGTAATGTGTAGAAAAACACGGCAAACAGGGGAACTGACGCCATTTTTAAGATAAGATAATATCGGTCATATGAATCAAACATATATATAGCTCATTCTGACAAGTAAATTATATTTGTCATCGAGGGTCAAGTATGTTGTATCGTTTCACGGGTATAAAATAAAATTCTTAAGTGCATATCAAAATCTTCCACAAAAAATTAGGACTGTGTTAAAAACCAACACCTGTAAATGTAAACTGGTGCAGGGGTTTTGATCCACCTCCATTTCTTCTCTCGGTTTAAAGGGCCTGCGTGACATTTTTTTTTAATACCAGGCCTGAGGGGGGGGGGGGGGGTATAAAACTTAGACGAGCTCGTTTGATCTCAGTCTCACTTTTTTCCAAGACTTAGGTCAAAAGTGAGCTCGTGTAAGTTTTATGGTCCCCAGGCCTGATATGCATAAAAGAATTCCTTTTTAATAAAAAGATGAATCAAGAAACACAAAAGGTAAATCCACAAGAGGAAGGAAAGATGCAGGTTGATATAAGTAATATGTCTATCTTGTAAAAATGTACATTGTAATGTGTTTATACCATTCAGGACTATAAAATGAAGAACAAAGTCATTTGAATCATCCCAGTATCCTGGTCTGCAGTTGGTATATTTGCAAACAGGGTTATTTCGATCACTTGATTCAGATATAAAATCTTATCTTTTGTGTAGTGTAGGGGAGTTTAAAGTACATAAAAATGTCATATTCTATTTACAGACACTACTTCATAACCCTTATTTAGCTATGCTACAAAAATAAGCAACAACTAGTCTTTCACTCGACACTGACGATTTTCGATATACATGTATTAAAAAGTTATGTTTGATGGGGAAAATGGACGTAGCATTTTCCCCTTTCCATGTCACATGTCTGAAATGGGAATCAATTCTTACGAATGTAGACAACTTTAATTTACTGATTAAAAGATACACCTCATTCCTTGTTTGCATTTGCTGAAGACAGTAAAGTATCCCGAATTCCAGTATTGAAAAAAAGGGGGTCGATATTTTCCTTATTTTCCTTAAACATATGACCCCCCCACCCCACCCCACCCCCCTGAAACAAAAAGTTTTGGTATGAATATGTGAAATGCTCGGACAGTCGATATTACCCGTAAAAAGGAATTTGTGTTTCACGGGGGGGGGGTTTACGCGCATTGATGAACTTCTCCGTCCAATTTTTTTCTTTGATACATCGATCAATGGGACGTCTCCATAGACTAAAAAATCATTCAAATATCTAAACTAAATTTGAAAATTGACATGGAGGTAGGCGGGAGAACACATTACTAATACATGTAGTTAGCACTTCTTTCATTTCAACATTGCTGAAAGGCTTCTTAAGACTAAAGAAATATAATTGAAGATAGTCTTAGAACAGACAGATGGACAGACAGACAAACCTTGATTAATATCCAACACAAATGAAAGTGGGGGACAAAACAGCACTAAGATATGCTGAAAATAAAATACATACATGTACATTCCATGCTGGCATAAAAATCACATTATTCCGGATTAATTTTGGTTATACCGGAAGTCGAATTCGGTTTCCTGAATTAGTGAGATTTTCAACGTCCCTTGCGTAAGCCACATTTTCTCGGTTATTCTTTTTTTTGCGTAACTGTTCTCCGGTTGTCTTTCTATAGTTCTTCTCAACATAAGAGGGATATTTTTGCCGGGATCATGTTTTCTCCCTCAACTTTACAGCCACAGGTAAAAATTTAAATTGTTTTTTAACGCACCGAAAGGGTCCAGATGTAAATATTGTGAATGGACGGATGCTACCAGTAACATAAAATAATAAATTCGCTGTTTGTTGTGCACATACCTGTTTTACAATACATATATGAAATTTGCTACAGAAGGGAAGAATTTTGAGATATAACATTATATCCGCTACATATTATAATTGGAGGTCTATGCACTACATTATCAAATAGGACTTTTCTTTTTCATGTAAGTATGTTATGTAATCACAGGTTTCTGATATATAGTGGGTAATCACAAAAGTAATTGGCTTATTTTCTATTACATTCATGTTTAACAAAACAAGCCCCAAACAAATAAAAACTCAAAAGAAATAGTTTTATTGAAAGTGCCAAGTATTTTTCATTAAAAATCAAAATAAAACTTGCTTGTCAAAATATCATGATATTATCAGGATATTTCTAATAAATTGTGATACAAAATTTTTGCTGATACCCTTCATGAATCATTTTTGCAGGTTGTGACAGCGCTGACACAGTTTTCGTCACTCCTGAATGGAGCCCGCATTTCCTCAACAGAGAGTTGGATAGGCAACAATCATCGCAAAAGTCGTCAGAGAAAAAACAGGACACAGGATGATAAACATTTAGAGGCAGATATCCGACAGGTTTGATATATATTTTTTATTTAATGGAGAGGGCAGAATAAGGTTTACCAACTTGTGCCCAATTCCACTGTCACTGGTGCCTTTCAGGGTTTCATTAAATTTACAGAGAGCTTTCTTTACACTTCCTATTTAACCAGTATACTTATCAATATGTTTTATTTCCACTATTGATTAGTTATAGTTCTTAGTGCGCTCTTTTGTGAAAAAGTTGGAGAATGTACAAATCTCGTGGGATTTCTGGGACAAACGTAACATAAACAAGTAAACAACACATTGAATGTCAATGAACAAATCCTAACAAAATGCATATGAAATATTTTATTGTTGTGGACTTTATTTAAATCAAGAGTAGAGATGACAAGGATATTTATTATCATCACTGCTAAAAACGCTTATGTTTTGTTGTTTATAAGGGGCATGGAAACCAGGGATTTTTTTAACCTTTGATTCCAGGGGCTGGGGCCGTCAAGATTGGGAAAAATAGCGATATTTGGTTGAAATTGGGAAAAATATCTTCATACAAATAAAAAGGAAATAACAAGCAAAAGTCAACGGTTTCATCTTTTTCCTTATCTTTTATTGTATGAAACTGGCTTCAATCAGCTTCACTGATATGAAATAATAGCGGCTGTTGAAGTTTAGAGCTAAAAAATGGCAAAGCCGCTAAGTATGATAAAATTGTAAATGAACATATTTATACGTTGTAATCTTTTTTACCTTTATTTAGGAAGTTCGTTAAAAATGAAATTTGATATTAGGTTTGTTCCCAAAGAGTGATTTATCGGTACTGATTGACCAGTTTATAAGAATAAGACTCAAGAGCGATTCACCCCAGCCTGAAAATTACCGTCTGAGACAAACTGGAGGAGAGACTGCCATGATGCACGTTAATTTATTAAATATAACGATCCCGACTTTAATTTTAAAACATCGATCCCGCTTTAAAAACATCCGAAGTATTCCGAATGACTTCTTGGATGGCTCGTACATCGCACATGTTATTTAGGCCCTATCGTTTATGGAAATGGCCGAGTATATGTGATTGCATTGCACATAGGGAACGTAACATCTGTTTTTCATTGTTTTATTTTAATAATTTACAACTTAACACTTTTTTTTCATTTTGGGTATTTTTAGGAGTAATTTTGGGAAAAACATACACTTTTTAGCATTGGGAATGGGGCCGAATTTCAGCCCCAGAGAGACCCTAAAAAAATCCCTGGAAACAGATTCAAAACAATTAATTGAAGACTTAATTTCCCTGGGGATATAAAACTGACACTTGTGTGAGTGTTAGTGGGGGGGGGGGGGGGAGGGTGGAGAGGTCTCAGAAGTCCTTGATTTAATTTTTAATCTACTTCACAGTGTTTTTTACATTTATTTTAGAAAGGCTGATTCCATAATAATGATAAAATTGCTTAACTTTTTTAAATTACAGATGGAACAGTTGATCAGTTTTCTAAATCTGGAGCACCTGCCAAAGAACTTGTCATCTTTAGAGTTATCTCCCCTGACAAGTCACCTTAAGCCTGGGAGACAGACAATACACAGTTATGCTTCCTCTCCAACTTTTTTTGAAAACAAATATGGTAAGGTATCAACTAACACCTTTCAATTTGCTAAGTTGGGATGGATGTTAATGGCTAATTTTATTTTTTATATTAAAGCCCATCTAGCAAAAGCCAATATTTCCTTAGGCCATTTAATATGAAAAAAAAAAACTTGTTATGGTACTGAATAAAAAGTACTTGGCATTAGAATTAGATGAAGAAAGTAAAATTTTTGATGATAGAAAATACTTCAAAAGAGTTGTCAATTTTTACTCTGAGATATCTGCAATGTGCTTGTGTCAATATTTTTGACCCAAGGTGAAAATCAAGAATTGTTTCAAGCAAACAGCAGAGGAGAATGTTTGAGCCAATGGTAGAGAATGATTCTGAAGCTTTTGTAGTTTTTATAGCAGAAAGCGAATTCAGTGAATATAATTAAATCCTTTCGAATTGTACCGTTTTATTACGAACCTCCTCCTCCTTCATGGTAAAAGTTTTAGATTTTCATTTGGTATATTTTATAAATGTGTATTGTAATGTAAATACACCTGTATTGTGCAATGTTTTCAGGGTTTGAAGAAGCAAGTTTTGATAGAGCTGTACATGCATCTAGGATTTGGGAACCCAGACTTTTACTAAGACCTCAAGAATTCAGTAAGATATAAAAAAAAATTCAGGAACTCTCAGATTTTGATTCCAGCTTTAATTGTTTCCACTCATTTCTCATAATTCTGAATTGTGACACGATAATTGTAGACTGAAATACTGTAGAAGTACTTTTTTCCAAGTGGTATTAATTTACGCTAAGTACGCGTTCACAAATTTTCCGCGGAAATTTGTCCAAGCGTACTTAGTATAAATGTAAGGCATATAGTGACAATCTAGAAAATCTGCGTAATTTTCTACCCGTGGATTGAACAGAAATTGAGATTCCGCAGAATTATGACCCCGTGGAAAAAAGTACGTCTACAGTATTATGTCAGAGCTTATTCTTATCATTTAAAGAATTTCATGAGAACGATGAACACAAACTATGTCTGTCAACTAACTTTCTTCCTAAGAAATTTATTTCCCTTTAATAACAATAACTTTATTCATGAAAAAATTTATTTCCACACAATTATTCAAGATGGCATGCTGGAAAAAACTTGATTTTCCTTTTATTATCAAAGTTTGAGCAACAAAAACACAAATTCTTTAACAATTTCCTCACAAACAATTATCTAAATCAAATACCTATTTCACAAAGATGAGGTGTCATAAGAATTAAGTTATCTTCAGTTTTCAAAAGATAAGTATTTTTTTTCAAATCAGGACACACACAGATTCGTGGATTTCACATCCGGCGTGACACGGGGACAGAGACAGGGAGACAGGACCTGAGTGATGTAAGACTAATGTAATGTTATCCTTCATCTGTGATTGGATGTACTGATTGTCAATCTTCAATGTGATTGGCTGATTAGCTGTCCCTGATCACTGATTGGCTATTGTAATGTTTGTTACTGAACATTGATTGGTTGATTTGCTGATTGTCCCTCATCATATAGATCACTATGTGTGGTTGATATTACAGTGTCTAATCTTTTTTTTTCAGATCAAAAAGATCTTGACAAATTTTGAATCAAGGCTACAAGCAACCTTGAAGGTAACTCAAAATAAAAAAAAAGTACATGTTAAATCTTGATGTATATATGTACAGTATTTAAAATGGAAAGAAAGGTAAACATTAAAGCTTTGAAATTAAGATGAAGAAGCAGAGTTGAGGTTGAAATCAAATATAAATACAGTGTTAAAGTTGATATCTCCTGTGAAATTTACTGAAAGAAATAAAAAAAAGCCACCTTTAAAACCTGAATGTTTACTTTTAATGGTATCGAACTCTAGAGCTGAAATATCATCTACCTGGCATCCAATTGAAATCTCTACAAAAATTTACGTGAAAATGTAAGGAACCCTTCACTATAGTTGACCTTTTGTTTTTTACAGGACTTTGCAAGCTCTAAGACAAACACGAATGTCGACCTGCTGAAGTCCCAACAGATGAAGGGTCTGGAGGAGAAGTACCTGACCCTGATAGAACAGATCAAGGAGGAGAAGAAGAAAAAATCCATGTCTCAGGTCCTCAACACCTTCACCAGCTATCTACTGAGGCTGTTACTGCTCGGCTTCGTCATCACCTTCCTCTACCGATCTAGTAAGTGTAATCATCTAAATCATCATCTACAATGTCATCACATTACTCTACCAGTCAAGTGAGTGAAATCATGTCAAATATCATCACATTGTCATCACCTTCATCTACTGGTCAAGTGAGTGAAATCATCTCTCAAATATCACATTGTCATCACCTTCCTCTTCCAGTCAAGTAAGTGTTATCATCTAAATCATCATATGCATTGTCATCAATCATCTAAATCATCATTACATTCCTCTACCGCTCTAGTAAGTTGTTATCATCTATAGTGTCATCTACAGTTCATCACATTCCACTACTGCTTAGGTAATTATCATCTAAATCATCATCCCGTTCTTCTACCACTCCAGTGAATGTAATCATTTAAATTATCTGTATATGACTTAATTTTCGCAACATTTTATTTTTTACAAGAAAGTCGTAAACTATTAGACAAGACAAAATTTTCACTAATTGTTGTCATTGCTCTTTATAAACTTGAAGAATACTTATAAACATGAAAATGAATCTTTGCTAACAAACAGTCAAGAGTTTTTATGAGAAAACAATGTTATTGTGAATAAAAGATGATTTACAGTATCAGAAATGCCCTCACAAGCTATACATGATGATAAAAGTTCTCCTTTTGTAGCAAAGCTGTTAAACAACACAAAGACGTTCACCATTGTAGACAAGGAAAGCATCAAAGAAAAGTTTGAAGATGTGCAGGGAGTAAGTAGTTAATATATCAGTGCTTCAAGGTCTGCCTTCTTAGATAAATGATAATGAATTGATAAATGACAGATAAAAAATGTTAAATCCAAGGGCAAATAACTCTATTTGCAAAAATAATCCTTAACTAGAGCAAAGCTCGTTGCAGAGCAACGAGTAGGTCTTCTATCCTGTTTGACAGGAAGTAACTTTAATTTTTAGGTCACCTGAGTTAACTCAGGTGACCTATTGCTATCTGTTTTTGTCCGTCGTCGTCCATCGTGCGGTGTGCGTCGTGCGTTAACATTTAAACATTTTCAGCTTCTTCTCTGAAACCACTGAACCAATTTCAACCAATTTTGGCATATATCATCTATGGGTGAAGGGGAACAAGAATTGTGAATTTCGTGGTCCCTGCGGCCTGGGGGGGGGGGGGGGGCAAAAACGACTAAAATTAGTGCAATCTTTAAAAATCTTCTTCTTTACTCCCAGAGATCAAGTAGTCAAACTGTTGGTATGATTGTAATCAGCATTGAGTCCTCTACCAAAATTGTGAAATTCATGGCCCCAGGGTCAGGGGTTCTGGTGTTGGGGTGGGGCTCTATTGATTATATAGTGAAAATGCACTAATTCTTTGAAAATCTTCTTCTCTGCTCCTGGGTATTAAATAAACTAATTAAGTTCATAGTTATGATGAGCAAGAGTGCCTCTACCAAAATTGTGAATTTTGTGGCCCCAGGGTCAGGGGTTATGGTGTTACGGCGGGGCTCTATTGATTTTATAGTGAAAATGCATTAAATCTTTGAAAATCTTCTACTCTGTTCCTGAGTATCAAATAAACTATTTAAGTTCATAATTATAATGAGCAGGAGTGCCTCTACCAAAATTGTGAATTTTATGGCCCCAGGGTCAGGGGTTATGGTGTTAGGGCGGGGCTGTACTGTTTATATAGTAAAAATGCATTAAATCTTTTAAAATCATATTCTCTGCTACTAGGTATCAAATAAACTAACTAAGTACATAGTTATGATGAGCAAGAGTGCCTCTACCAAAATTGTGAATTTTATGGCCCCAGGGTCAGGGGTTCTGGTGTTAGGGCGGGGCTCTATTGATTATATAGAGAAAATGCATTAAATCTTTGAAAATCTTCTTCTCTGTTCCTGAGTATTTAATAAACTAACTAAGTACATAGTTATGATGAGCAAGAGTGCCTCTACCAAAATTATGAAATTCATGGCCCCAGGATCAGGGGTTATGGTGTTAGGGCGGGGCTCTATTGATTTTATAGTGAAAATGCATTAAATCTTTGAAAATCTTCTTCTCTGCTTCTGGGTATTAAATTTTCTAATTAAGGAAATAGTTATGATGAGGAAGAATGCTTCTTCCAAATTTGTGAATTTTATGGCCCCAGGGTCAGGGGTAGTGGTGTTAGGATGTGGCTGTATAATGATTATATGGTGAAAATACATTACATCTATGAAAATCTTTTTCTCTACTCCTGGGTAATAAGCAGAATGAACTATTTACATAGTTATGATGGGATGGGCTCTTCTTCCAGAATTGTGAATTCCAAGGCCCCTGGGTCAGAGATACCAAAATGGGGAGGGGGGGGTCTACTTATATACTGAAAATGAATTGTTTGAAATCTGCTCCTTGGTATTAATCAAACATTTTTGATAAGCAAGTGTGCCTTTTCAAAAATTATGCAATGTGTAGACCTAGGGTCAGGGGTTCATGTGTGGTAGGAGCACTTATGATTATTGCTGAATATTACTGATTAGTTGACATACTTTTTTGTTCCCCTACCCTGCTTATCCATATTAAGTAAACAAACTAAACAATTGTGAGTGTATAATTATGATAAGCAATGGTGCCTCTTTCAAAATTGTGAATGCCATAGCATCTAGCTTAAAACATGAACCAAATTCAATCATTTGAAAGTTGTTGCATGATGCTCAGGTGACCTATAAGGCCCATGGGCCTCTTGTTTTAAAAAAAGCGATATGAGTTCTCAAATGATTTAAATCTTCCAAATCTTTGTTGAAAATTGCAATAGTAAGCCATTTTTTGCTACTTCCTTTTCGACCGGAAGTGATGTCGACGGACGGAAAATTAAGTTTTATGCTTCCAGTGAAAAATATTTTCCAAAAACGTGTCAAGAACAGCAAAAATATGCATTTTCTGACTACTTCCGGTTTGGCCGGAAGTGACGTCACAGGACGTATTTTGATGATCTAAATAGATTCTACTAGAGATTTTGAACAACTTTGCTTCTTTAATGTATAACAAATTCTAAATACTTTTTGAGATATCTGGAAAAAAAATTCGGCCCCTCTAGATCCCTTAATGCAGGGGTCAGCCCTTTTTCCAAGATATCATTTGAAAGATCTTGTAATTCTGCACAAATATTGCTCTATATGTATTTACAAGATATTTTTAGTTTAGAAGATAAAAAGCAAAATATATGCAAATTTTCGCTCTTTTAGGTGTTCTAATTTTTTACCCCTATATAGCGCCATTTTGAATAGAGAAATCGAAAAACAAAAACCAATGTGCACAACTTCAATCCTTTTATTATCTAAAATCAGTAGAATTTCTGCTCTAGCTTTTGTGTTTCCGAGCCTTTGTCTGGAAATAAAAGCCTATAAATTTTTGTTTAAAGGGAAATAACTCAAAAGCAGAAGTGAATTTTTGAAATGTTAGACAGCTCTCTGATAGAGTTTAGTAACATATATAAACTCTGAAAATTTGAGCAAAATCCATTGAGAAATAAGTGAGATATGAGGCTTCAAAATTGGTGTCTAGGAAGTAGAAGAAAAAAAAGAATAATAATCTTTACCAACAGAATCAGTAGAAGTTCTTCCATTGGATACGGAAGCCCTTAATTCTGCAGAAATTACCATAAATTAACATAAATTTTACAGATGGATGAAGCCAAAGAAGACATGATGGACGTAGTTAAATTCCTGCAGAATCCAAGAAGTTTTACAGAAGTCGGTGCCAAGATACCAAAAGGTACACATCTGTATGATCCACAATACTTGTGGTGGAAAAAATGAAGATAACCGTGATCAATCTGAAACAAACCTGAATGGGTGATCAAAGTTTTACATAGGAAAATGTAGAAAAACAATAAAATCTTCTTTAAAACAGCAAACTGAAAAATTGCATAACAGGACAGAAAGACACATGAAGTGAGTTGTAGATAAACAGATACTTGACTCCTTCTTGTCAATGAAGTGATGATTTGTTGTATTTTTTGTAGGAATTTTATTGGACGGACCTCCTGGCGTGGGGAAAACTCTGTTAGCCAGAGCTGTAGCAGGTAATGAGGAATTCATTGCATTCAATATTAACAGTATTGGAACCTTGCATGTAAAACCTTTATCTCATCTCAAATCACATTTTATGAAAGTTTTAGGGTAAGATTCATTTCTGATGCCATGTTTCCTTTTTCAGGGGAGGCTGGAGTACCGTTTATTTTTGCCGCAGGGTCAGAGTTTGAGGAGGTTTTTGTGGGTGTAGGGGCTAAGAGAGTCAGAGAGTTATTTGGTAAGCTATGCCCTTAATTTTATAGATTTGTTAAAACAAATAATCAACTTGTATGTTATTCATCATTGCAAATACAGAAATGGTGGTGGGGCTGAATCATCATAAAAGCATAATGAACAAAATTAACTAGGCTAAGCATTAAGTACAAGCTTTATAGATAATCAGTAATGACATTATTTCTTGTTTTCAGTGACGGCTAAGAGGAATGCCCCCTGTATAGTGTTTATTGACGAGATTGACAGTTTGGCTGCTAAGCGAACTTCTAGTCCTTTTGTACATCCTGCGGCCAATCAGTGTATAAACCAGCTGTTGACGGAATTAGATGGGTACGGACCACTCCTGCTGTAGATTACATATGTTACAACTTACAAAGTACTTAACATTGCAAAATAACCTTTAAACATATCACAGGAGCAATAATTATAATTCCTGAGTGGACAATTGGTATAGAGATTTAACATTATTCAGAATGATGAAAATGAAATCAATTTATTTTATTTTGCTGTAAATGATATATCTTGTGAGATTGCGCAATGATTAATTCCTCAAATCGATATTTAGGAATTTATGGGTTTGATTTTTTTCAGTCATGAGAAATGTAAGACCTGAAATACATTGTGTTCAGTATTTTTCATTATTTTGTTGTTTATTTATAGATTTGAGCAGTCATCAGGGATTATTTTGATTGGAGCCACAAACAGGAAAGATGTCATTGATCCGTAAGTTTATGTCAGATGTAGAATGTTAATCAGAAGTCAAATTGTTATAACCAAGGCCATCTTTAAAAATTATTTGATCGCCCTCTCATAATGACTAGAAATGTCCTGACTTTACTGTCTTATTTTTTCATTCCAGAATAGAATTTTTTTTTTTTATCCTTATCCCGTCAACAAACCTTGAAATTTTTTTTTTTTTATTTTCCAGCCCAATAATTTTACCCTGAGTGGGTACAGGGCAATGAAGGAAAATTCAATATTTATAAAGTAAATTTAAGGATCTTGTTCTGTATGCAACTTGGAAAAAGCTTGAAATGGAATGTGTACTTGAGAATTTGGAAACTGAATATTCACATCTTGTTCAAATCAATGTATTTATCATAGAATATTTATGTCTTTAGACTTTTAATCATTGTCTGTATTTATCGCAGAGCCATGCTGCGGCCCGGGCGTTTTGACATGCACATCTCCGTAGAGGGACCAGACCAGAAAGGACGGGAGAAACTGTTCAAACTTTACCTGGGCAAAGTCAGGAGTGACCCAAGTAAGTAAGAATGACCAAACTGTTCAAACTTTATCTGGGCAAAGTCAGGAGTGACCCAAGTGTGAACCACCAAACTGTTCAAACTTTACCTGGGCAAAGTCAGGAGTGACCCAAGTAAGTAAGAATGACCAAACTGTTCAAACTTTATCTGGGCAAAGTCAGGAGTGACCCAAGTAAGTAAGAACCACCAAACTGTTCAAACTTTATCTGGGCAAAGTCAGGAGTGACCCAAGTGTGAACCACCAAACTGTTCAAACTTTACCTGGGCAAAGTCAGGAGTGACCCAAGTAAGTAAGAATGACCAAACTGTTCAAACTTTATCTGGGCAAAGTCAGGAGTGACCCAAGTGTGAACCACCAAACTGTTCAAACTTTACCTGGGCAAAGTCAGGAGTGACCCAAGTAAGTAAGAATGACCAAACTGTTCAAACTTTATCTGGGCAAAGTCAGGAGTGACCCAAGTAAGTAAGAACCACCAAACTGTTCAAACTTTATCTGGGCAAAGTCAGGAGTGACCCAAGTGTGAACCACCAAACTGTTCAAACTTTACCTGGGCAAAGTCAGGAGTGACCCAAGTAAGTAAGAATGACCAAACTGTTCAAACTTTATCTGGGCAAAGTCAGGAGTGACCCAAGTGTGAACCACCAAACTGTTCAAACTTTACCTGGGCAAAGTCGGGAGTGACCCAAGTAAGTAAGAATGACCAAACTGTTCAAACTTTATCTGGGCAAAGTCAGGAGTGACCCAAGTAAGTAAGAACCACCAAACTGTTCAAACTTTACCTGGGCAAAGTCAGGAGTGACCCAAGTGTGAACCACCAAACTGTTCAAACTTTACCTGGGCAAAGTCAGGAGTGACCCAAGTAAGTAAGAATGACCAAACTGTTCAAACTTTATATGGGCAAAGTCAGGAGTGACCCAAGTGTGAACCACCAAACTGTTCAAACTTTACCTGGGCAAAGTCAGGAGTGACCCAAGTAAGTATGAATGGAACAAACTGTTCTGAGTTCAGCTGTATATAAACAATTCATTTAAAAAATTTTAAAGGGCTGTTTTGCAAGACTAGTTCTATATAATTATGTAAATATATCACATGAATTTATACTTTTTTTTCCATTTCCAGCTATCAATGTGGAGAATTTGGCAAAAGGTGTTGTTGGTTTGACAGGTAATACTAAACTTAGGGAAGATAACTTTTCATAATTATTGTACTGTACTGATTACATTTTATCAATATTAAAATTTAAAATTTTGTTTTAATACTTTTATCCTTGATAAATTAATTCAGAATGAAAACAAGCCTTAGATTTTCTGAGTCAGACTTGATGACGTGCATCTGCGAACAATCAGTTTGCATTTTCTCTGTTATCTATTGTTGAGACTTAGACTTTGTTTTTTAAATCAGTTTTTCCAAAGGAATATATAGTGAAAAAGTGAGACTGAGATCAAAAGTGAGCTCATCTAAGTTTTGTGGCCCCCAGGCCAGTAACTTGGTTGCATTTTGTAATGTTGTTTTGAGACTTTCTAATTTTATTTTTAATCAGGTGCCGACATCAGTAACTTGGTGAACCAGGCGGCACTAAAGGCGGCTAAAGATGGAGCCAACATTGTGTGTATGAGTCACCTGGAGTGGGCCAAGGATAAGATACTTATGGGTAAGTCTGAGTGGGCAAAGGATAATATTTAGATGGTTAAGTGGGCCACAGGTAAAGGTAAATCAGAGTAGGCAAAGGATAAGATTCTTAAGGGTAGTACCCATTTGTAAGTATCTTTCTTAACCTATCAATAATTTGCACTAAATGGGTATCTTAGAAAGGAGTTGCATGTACTTCTGTGTTGAGAAAATGAACATGTATATATTTTTTGTGTGAATTCTATAAATAGGTGCAGAAAAGAAGACGCGGACCCCTGATGAGGAGGCTAACTGGGTAACGGCGATTCACGAGGCTGGTCATGCTATAGTGGGGCTGGAGTCCAAGACCTCGTCCTCTCTAGTGTATAAAGCTACGATAATGAAACGTGGACAGGCGCTGGGTCATGTAAGTAAGACCTCGTCCTCTCTAGTGTATAGGTAATGTTGATAATTTTATGCATTAATGCCTTCGGTGTTTAATGCAAATTATCATGCAAGCCAATCGATTGATCACATCATGAAATCGAAAAATAAGACAATTATTCCTTAAAGTCCTACACGCTATATGAACCCCGAAATTTGTGTGAAACAAAATGATAAATGATTTGAAACACATGAAGTGTAAATGAAAAATAATACTTTCCACAAAATTTTACTATAGATGTTGTTGTAATAACAAAACAATTAAGCAATATCTGGCAATTAAGAATTCAGTCTTTTCATGAATATTGATGAAGGAAGTGCGTAAATAGTAGGCCTATATATAGACATGCATGTCCACGGGAAATCACAGACGAGGCATGTTGCATATTTTAACAATTATTATAATAAAAGCGTCACAACAGAGTAGATGGTTGCCACTGATTACGTTAAAATATATATATCATTAAGAGTAAGACGCTTGCCATCCACGTCAAAAGTGAGTAGTATCTCAAACGGCCTACCTTGTTTTCTTCACGCCATGTTTGTTTATCAATCTAAAAGTAGCCGTAAGCGACGGCGTCACATGATGGATTTATTTTAAAATAGCTACATGTATTGTATTTCTCTCCTAGCAGGAATATAAATATTTATAATTTGATAACTTTATAACGCGTTTAATTTTAATGTAGTAATTTACAGTACTTTCGTAACTTTTATTGATAAAAAAAATATATAAATCTCCAATCTTGTTCAAACTGGCGCAAGTTATAGCATGTGTACTTTTAAATAATTGTGATTTTACAGACCCGTTATAACTTCGTGATTTAAAAGTTTCTGCAGTTTGTTATACATGTAACTGAGTTGTACTGTTTTATAACTTTGTGATTTACAGACCCAGTTTCTGTCGTTCATTACTGACTTGTACTGTTTTATAACTTTGTGATTTACAGACCCAGTTTCTGCCGGAGAAGGAGGAGTATACACACAGTCGGGCCCAGCTGATGGCTCAGATGGACATCGCGATGGGGGGACGTGTCGCCGAGGAAATCATGTTTGGGACTGATAAAGTCACCACAGGTTAGGGTCATTATACCTTTACCTTTTACATGGAAAAAAATATTCATTGAAGATTGATATGAAAAATAATAAGTTGTTATCATTGGTTCTATAGACCACTCTGATTTGAGGTTTTATTTTTCTGTCCTACAGGAGCAGCTTCTGACTTCAGTCAGGCCACAAAGATAGCCAAGAGTATGGTGATGATGTACGGAATGTCCGAGTCGGTAAGTCAGTCAGGCCACAAAGATAGCCAAGAGTATGGTGATGATGTACGGAATGTCCGAGTCGGTAAGTCAGTCAGGCCACAAAGATAGCCAAGAGTATGGTGATGATGTACGGCATGTCAGAGTCTGTAAGTCAGTCAGGCCACAAAGATAGCCAAGAGTATGGTGATGATGTATGGAATGTCTGAGTCTGTAAGTCAGTCAGGCCACAAAGATAGCCAAGAGTATGGTGATGATGTACGGAATGTCTGAGTCGGTAAGTCAGTCAGGCCACAAAGATAGCCAAGAGTATGGTGATGATGTATGGAATGTCTGAGTCGGTAAGTCAGTCAGGCCACAAAGATAGCCAAGAGTATGGTGATGATGTACGGAATGTCTGAGTCGGTAAGTCAGTCAGGCGACAAAGATAGCCAAGAGTATGGTGATGATGTACGGAATGTCTGAGTCGGTAAGTCAGTCAGGCCACCAAGATAGCCAAGAGTATGGTGATGATGTACGGAATATCTGAGTCTGTAAGTCAGTCAGGCCACAAAGATAGCCAAGAGTATGGTGATGATGTATGGAATGTCTGAGTCGGTAAGTCAGTCAGGCCACCAAGATAGCCAAGAGTATGGTGATGATGTACGGAATGTCTGAGTCTGTAAGTCAGTCAGGCCACAAAGATAGCCAAGAGTATGGTGATGATGTAAGGAATGTCTGAGTCTGTAAGTCAGTCAGGCCACAAAGATAGCCAAGAGTATGGTGATGATGTACGGAATGTCTGAGTCGGTAAGTCAGTCAGGCCACCAAGATAGCCAAGAGTATGGTGATGATGTACGGCATGTCAGAGTCGGTAAGTCAGTCAGGCCACAAAGATAGCCAAGAGTATGGTGATGATGTACGGAATGTCTGAGTCTGTAAGTCAGTCAGGCCACAAAGATAGCCAAGAGTATGGTGATGATGTACGGCATGTCAGAGTCGGTAAGTCAGTCAAGCCACAAAGATAGCCAAGAGTATGGTGATGATGTATGGAATGTCTGAGTCGGTAAGTCAGTCAGGCCACAAAGATAGCCAAGAGTATGGTGATGATGTACGGAATGTCTGAGTCGGTAAGTCAGTCAGGCCACAAAGATAGCCAAGAGTATGGTGATGATGTACGGCATGTCAGAGTCAGTAAGTCAGTCAAGCCACAAAGATAGCCAAGAGTATGGTGATGATGTATGGAATGTCTGAGTCGGTAAGTCAGTCAGGCCAAAAAGATAGCCAAGAGTATGGTGATGATGTACAGAATGTCTGAGTCGGTAAGTCAGTCAGGCCACAAAGATAGCCAAGAGTATGGTGATGATGTACGGCATGTCAGAGTCGGTAAGTCAGTCAAGCCACAAACATAGCCAAGAGTATGGTGATGATGTACGGAATGTCTGAGTCGGTAAGTTACGTGTTCTACTGCAAGGATAAGATGATATAGTAATTACCGGAAATCATTGACAACTATTGGTGATGATGTACAGAATGTCTAAGTCGGTATGTAATGTCTGATGATGTACAAGCTCATAGGATATAATAATGACTGTAAATTGGCTTTTATTCAAAGCAACTCTATTCGTGATTTGTAAGTTTGAAATTTATATCTGACAGCTAATTTCTCATGATCGAGGAATTATGTTATTTAAATACACTATGAATTAAATATTGATGGGAAAAAATAAACACGGTCAAATAAAAAGTTCACAGAAGCTGTGGATATTTCCCACACTTGTACACATATAAAGTTAGTTTGCAGTATTGTGTCATTACACTGACTACAGTTACATACAATAGTTTACCTATCTCTGTGTATTGTAGCTTGGAGCCCGTGTTTACAGTGAAGAAGACCTTCAGCTACTGAGTTCTCACATGAGGAAAGAAATTGATGATGAGGTCAATCAACTTTTACAGGTAAGACAACAAAGTCAATTAATTTCTACAGGTAAGGCAACAAAGTCAGTACACTTTTACAAACACTGTTCATGTCTACAGGTATAGAGGACTTGTAGTTATCATGGAATTTTTTATTTAAAGGTAGTAGAATATTGTTGAGATTTTTAAAAGTTATAATTATTATAAGAATACTGTGTTATTAAATTATTGAAAAATGAGTTGTGTGCCAATCACTTGGGACAATTTTTTAGATTGTTGCTTTATTTTTACAGGAGTCATATTGCCGAGCCAAAACAGTTCTGACAAATAAAAAAGACAAACTAAAGAAACTTGCCGAAAACTTAATGAAATATGAAACTCTGGATATGGAGGAAATAAAACAAGTCATGGCTGGAAAGGAAGTAGTCAGGACGTGACTGTAGCATCATGGGATACCTTGCTGTAGCATCATGGGATGCATTGATGTAGCATCATGAGATATCATGACAGAAAGATTTGTGGAGAAAGGGTGTGAGAAAAAAAGTTTCATTGGCTGAATGCTGTGATGTGAATATCAGTGAAATCTGATTGGACGACAGAACTTTTCATTAGTCAGAGATATTCATCATGTTTGTTCAAATTATCTGAAATATTGTAAATGAAAGTATCCTAAAACTTTTGTTTTTATGATATGAATGTCCACTTCTCACTTTTTAAAATATCACAGAGTTTTTACTTGAATTTGAAGCTGCATTTTCAACAATGTTAATCACCAGATCTAGTAGATCATTGTTGTTATTGTAACACTTTATGCAAATGTCCTCAGTATACTTTTTTTGTTAAAATAAGTATATGACTGAGTTGTTCACTCCATCATGACGTAAAGCTGTACATCTGTTTCTTGAACATCAATTGAATACTGTAAATCACTTTTTATTCGCGAGAACTTTATTTTCACGTAATTACGCGAGACAGGATGCTCGGGAAAATTTCATTCTCGCATATAATAGAATTCCTTAAGATTATATAGAGCAATGACCACAATTCGTGAAAATTTTGTCTCGCTAATAAAGAGTCAGTGACTCTTTCGTGAAAATAAGGTGTCCAGAAAATTAAGTGATCTACAGTACTTGAAAAGATTTGTTGATAAGTTCTGAGATTGTATTTCTTCTCATTTCTTTGTTAATTTTATGCATCTAAGATCGATATTCAAATTTAATCTAATTGTTGCAGTATTCCTCTAATGCATATAAAAAGTCTGCTTTATGTTGTCGCAGTATTCCTTAATTACACATAAAAATATTCTGCTTTATGTTGTAAAGTTTGTGTACATCATTACGGCACAGTGTATTTTGTAGTAACATCCTGTCATAACTATACTAGAGCATCTGCTTTTCTCTGCCCCCCCCCCCCCCCCCCCCCCCCCAAATCATCTTTTAATGCAAGAAAATTTTTATCATTTTAAGTCCATGTTCTTGTTTGTGAATCTTGTAATTATTCCAACACAAATATTAATTCTGCATGATATGAGTAATGATCAATGCACATTGAATGAAATTGTCCAGTTTTCTCTGATTATCTTGAAAATCTTGTATACACCAATTCTTATCAGTGCTGTTCATTTATCACCCTAGATGGACATTGACAAACATGTTCAACTGAAAAGGGGGGGGACCAACAAAAAAACCTTTTGGGATTAAGCCCCCATTTTCAATCCCTATGATATGGTCTATCTTTGCAAAATAGCAAAAAGGGAGGCTTAGCCCCTTTCCCCCGGTTCCAACACCGGATATAATATTTAATGTTGTACGTCATTACATGGTTATGAAGGAGTTTTTTCTTTGTCAAAGGTATCAAGTAAAAAATTTACAACTTCAACTTACATACATGTATATTAATCAATGTAAAATGTGTTTTGTTCAGTTTTAAGGTGGTATACAGATAAAGAAATTATCAGAAGACTCCTTTTCTCTTTCTTGTTGATCTAATTTACAAATGTGCATATGTATGGTAACATGTTCATAGATGACAGATTAATTTTTTTATTTGACATTACATGTTATAACTTTGGAACAAGATGTTCCAATTTTTGCACTGACATAATATTATGATGGAGAAAATTATCAAAGAAATTGGAATTCAGTTTTTGATTCTTGAAGAACTTAAAAATGTGGAACAGACACATTATAGGAAATTTAAGTGTATTATTAAAAATAAAGATACCAGGATTCACTTCTTGTTGTCTCTGACTTAATCAATAAAAGGTATACAGATATAAAATAAAGACAATGAATATATATATATATATATATAGGATCTCGCATGAATTATGGTTGGATAATCATGATTTTTATCCAACGAGTTGTTTTTATATGCCCGTCTTCAGACGGGATGTATTATGTTATAGGCTTCGTGTCCGTCCGTCTGTCCGTCTGTTAGCTTTTTCGTTTCCGGCTCATAACTTTAATACTATTAGGCCTAGGATTATCAAACTTTGTCGTCTGATATGTCTTGGGTAAAAGGTGTGTCGCGCACAAAAAGTAGGTCGCTCTGACATTTAATTAAGAAGTTATAGCCAAATATGGAAAAATCCTTTCCGGCCCATATCTAGAAAACTATTAGACTCGGAGTCATCAAACTTGGCCAGTTTATGCATCTTAGGTAGAAGGTGTGTCGCGGCCTATTTCAAGGTCACTGTGACCTTTAATGTAAGTGAATTTTTTAAAAAAACTAAGTCGTTAAAATTTTAAATTTCATAATCCTAAAGAATGTAAAAATATAGTTGTATCCTTGTTTAAAAATGTTAAATCAAGTAAAAACTTATTTTTTCATTATATGCTTTACAGCAATCTGTATATATATGCTTTACAGCAATCTGTAACAAATGTTAATGTTTTGAGAGGAATTCAGTTTGTCCCATGGGCATTATTATCAAGCACTGGTCAAGAAGAATTTTGATAGCAGAAATAGAGAAAAATCAATGAGTTTATTGTCAGGAGCTAAGTGGTAGAGCATATCTCTGAAAATGCAGCTGTTATCTTCATCTTTAATCTCTTGGGAGTTGGGCAAAAAGAAATGGCCTCATAGTTCCTTGTGTTAATTAAGAGTTCTTGATGGCTAGTTCAGAAAAAGATCTTTCAATTGGTGTAATGTGATTAAAACAAATTGATGCTTTAAAATACAGTGTATGATAAAAACTAATTTAATATTGTATAATATAATTAAAACTAATCCTTATGAAAAGATGTTAAATTAAGTAAAAACTTATTTTTTCATCATATACTTTAACAGCAATCTGTAACAAATGTTAATGTTTTGAGAGGAGGAATTCAGTTTGTCCCATGGGCATAATTATCAGGCACTGGTCAAGAAGAATTTTGATAGCAGAAATTTGCATGTCAAATTAGAGAGATATTAATGAGTTTATTGTCAGGAGCTAACTGGTAGTCTAAGAACATCTCTGATCATGCAGCTGTCATCTTAATTTTTCTCTTGGGAGTTGGGCAAAAAGAAATGGCCTCATAGTTGCTTGTGTTAATTAAGAGTTCTTGATGGCTATAGTCAGGATAAAGATCTTTCAATTGGTGTAATGTAATTAAAACAAATTGATGTTTAATGTATGATTAAAACTAAATTAGTATTTTATAATATAATGAAAACTAATTATACATGTGTTCATTGAAATAAAATTACCGGGGTACATTTCAATTTTTATACATTTGCAACAAATTGCAGTCACCATGCCTCGATTAGAATTTTATAGTCTAAAGAATAATTTATTTTTTATTTTTTTATTAGACTGTAGCATTTCCATTATTCCATTAAATATGCAATAAACAATTTAAGCTGCAGATGGATATTTGTTAAGTTCTAACACAGCCAGTTTAGAATTATATGATGTATTATTTGTTATGATTAATCCCTACACTGTAAGTCTCTTAGAGATGTATGTACGAGGGTTGTCCCAAAAAGTCGTAGACAGGGAACATAGTTTATTTTCTCTTTGCTAAATCAAATTTCTTTTCTTGTCATAGCAAAGAGTAGCATTTTTATGCCCCGCCATGAATATGGCCGGGGCATATAGTGTTTGTCATGTCCGTCTTCCGTCCTTCCGTCACACTTTGTGTTTAGCTCTGTTCAAAGCTAAGTTTCAAAGAAACTATCCAAGATATTTTCATCAAACTTCATATGCTGATAGATATTGATGAGAGCTATGGTTCATATAGGGATGAACACTACCAGACTTGCTTCGGATGCTGGATCTGACCGACATTTTCAAGACGAGTGACCAGGTAAAAGTTTTAGGAACAGGTCCATTCCTAAGGAACTATAAGCCCTACTTGGACCAAACTTGCATGGATGATGCATCTAGGGATGGACACTACCAGACTTGCTTCGGATGCTGGATCTGACCTATATTTTCATTCCCAAGTAACTATAAGCCCTACCTGAACCAAAATTACATGGATGATGCATCTTTGGATGGACACTTCCAGACTTGCTTCGGATGCTGGATCTGACCGACATTTTCAAGACGAGTGACCAGGTAAAAGTTTTAGGGACAGGTCCATTCCTAAGGAACTATAAGCCCTACTTGGACCAAACTTGCATGGATGATGCATCTAGGGATGGACACTACCAGACTTGCTTCGGATGCTGGATCTGACCTATATTTTCATTCCCAAGTAACTATAAGCCCTACCTGAACCAAAATTACATGGATGATGCATCTTTGGATGGACACTTCCAGACTTGCTTCGGATGCTGGATCTGACCTATATTTTCATTTCCAAGTAACTATAAGCCCTACCTGAACCAAACTTGCATGGATGATGCATCTAGGGATGGACACTACCAGACTTGCTTCGGATGCTGGATCTGACCTATATTTTTGTTCCCAAGTAACTATAAGCCCTACCTGAACCAAACTTACATGAATGATGCATCTAGGGATGGACACTACCAGACTTGCTTCGGATGCTGGATCTGACCTATATTTTCATTCCCAAGTAACTATAAGCCCTACCTAAACCAAAATTGCATGGATGATGCATCTAGGGATGGACACTACCAGACTTGCTTCTGATGCTGAATCTGACCTATATTTTCATTTCTTAGTAACTATAAGTCCTACCTGAACCAAACTTGCATGGATGATGCATCTAGGGATGGACACTACCTGACTTGCTTCGGATGCTGGATCTGACCTATATTTTCATTCCTTAGTAACTTTAAGTCCTACCTGAACCAAACTTGCATGGATGATGCATCTAGGGATGGACACTACTAGACCTGCTTCGGATGCTGGATCTGACCTATATTTTCATTCCCAAGTAACTATAAGCCCTACCTGAACCAAACTTTCATGGATGATGCATCTAGGGATGGACACTACCAGACTTGCTTCGGATGCTGGATCTGACCTATATTTTTATTCCCAAGTAACTATAACTATAACAATTCAGCTGCATCACTATTCTGGATATTCTGATCAAATTTTATAAACATACAAATTTTCATGTTGCTTTACTAATATATCCTCGGCGGGGCATTCATGTCCTATGGACATATTTCTAGTATGATTATGTATTTCAAGTTTCATGACGATACCACATTAAACAAGAAAACTATGAAAAAATAAAGAG